TGCGCCCCCCCCCCCCGCCTTGGTCCCTCTGGTGAAGGGCTCTTTGGCTCCTCCTCCCCCCCCACACACAGGGCGAGGCTGTAAGCTGGACTCCGAGGTGCCCATGGAGCAGAGCTCTGGGGCAGCCACCCGGCAGACGGTGCCCCTGGAGGATCTGCCAGGTGAGTGCAGTGGCACAGGGTGGGGGAGGCGGTGTCAGTGGAAAAGAGGAGGCCGGGAAGCAAGGGGGGGGGTCGGAGCACGACCGGGTTGGACCGGGTCTCCAGGGGCTGTGGGGAAGAGGTGAAGGCAGCTGCCTTTTGGCCGGCGCCTGCAAGCTGCCTGAAGGCCCACAAGGGTCAGCCAGGGTGCCGAGGTCTTCTTCCTGCCCCCCCCCAACCTGAGGACCTGGTGAAGAGGCTTTTCCTGGCCCTTTGCGGGTTGGTGGCGGCTGCTGGGCGTCTAGGGCAGCCCCCAATGTCCTTCCGCCCATGGGGTGCGGGGGGGGGGAATCCACAACCACCAGTACTTGCTTGGTCTCTGCCTCCCATGGAAGGGGGTCTACTCTGGAGGAGGATGAGGGAGGCCCTTTTGAGGCTGAGAAAGTAGAAGGCTTGGAGGGGGCGGGGAGAGGAGGGCCTGATGTTCATTGGGGGGTCATGTCTGCTTCTTGTTCTAAGGTTTCATGCCTCTTCCAGAACGCGCTGCCAGAGAACTGCGTGGGCACCCGTGGCCCGTGGAAGGAGGCAACCGGCTGAGGTGAAGGAGGCGCTGCCCGGCGGGCGGTGGGGTCATGACCTGTCCTGCCTGTCTTGAGCCAGGAGGTGGAGGGTCAGAAAGGGGTAACAGAAAAGGGAGGGGTCAGTGACCTAGCGGGGATCATGGGGAATGAGTCCTTTTGTGTGTGTGTGTGTGGGGGGGAATGAAGAGCTGGTCCTGCATCATCTGCTTCTCTTCCTCACCTCCAGGGAAGCCGACGGGAGTGGGGCTGAGTCCCTGGCGCTGCCTCTGGCTGTGGCCCAGGCAGCCGAACAGCGCCTCCAGCAGGTGGCCTCTCAGGGCGCAAAGGAGGAGGAGGAGGAGGAAGAGAGGTGGCAGGGCATGCCTGGCCTCACGACTCCCCCAGGGTGCCTGCCTCCGCGTGTGCTGTCGCTCTTCCAGCTGTCTCTGCGGGGGACCCTGGCCCTCCTCACAGGTGGTACAGTCTGAGGCCCTGCCCTGCCCTGCCCTGCCCTGCCCTCTCTCTGGCCACTGGTGGCCTCTGACCACAGCCCTGTGGGCCTCTTCCTCCTCCTCCTCCTCCTCCTTCTAGCTCCCAGCAAGCAGTACTGCAGCAGCCTCGCTGCCCTGACACCTGGACTGGCCGAGCAGCTGCTGGCGGCCATGATCCAGCAGAGCCTCCTGACCCCGCGCAACCTGCGCCTCTTCTTCGGCTGCCCCCTGCAGAAGCTGTGCCTGGACTGCTACCCCTACGCGACCAATGAGCTGCTGCGCCAGCTGCGGGCTTTCCCCAGCCTCCGCCACCTTAGCCTTCTGGCCTGCTCCGTCATCACAGGTGAGCTGCTGGGCCGGCCCAGGAGCTGGGCTCTGGATGCACCCTCCCCGATGGACTGCGCTTATATCCCAGGGGCGCCTAGGAAGCGTCTGGTGCCATACCTCTAGTTCCTCCCCCTGAGCCCTTCTTCCTGGCTGTTCTGGCTGCAAGGAGCAGGCTGAAGCTTTCCTGAGAAATCGGTGGGTAGAAAGGGGCCAGGGCTGACCCGACTGGGCCCCCAGTGCCAAGGGCCTGGGGCTTCCTCTCCCTAGGCCACCCACTGTGGAATGCTTGGGGGCTCTACAGATCCAGGGATCAGGCAGGTGCTGGGACGGTTGACCTTCAGACAAGGCAGAAGGGAGAGGGTTGAGGAACCACGAGGTGGTCCGTGGGGGCAGTGATGGGATCCGCGCGGGGAGGAGGGCTGGCCCTTGCCCATGGCCTGAACTGACCCTTGCTCCCCTCCTGGCAGACCAGGGCCTCTGTGTGCTCCAGCACCTCTCCCGCCTCCAGCAGCTCAACCTCTCCGCCTGCACGAAACTGACAGACCACTGCCTGCAGTTCCTGAGAGGTACGCCAGGCCCAGGCCAGCCACCGGCGGCCTCTTTTCCCTCCACGGGAAGAGGCGAGCTGCCCCTTGACCCTCTGCCCAAGAGGACTTGCCCCCTGGGAAGGTGCCCGTCTCCTCTGAGCACTCAAACCCGCCTGCCCAGGTTGGACAGAATGGATTCCAGGATGGAGAGGAGGTGGTGGAGGGGAAGGGAGGGGTTCCTCCTCTTTCGTCCTGGGCCTGCCAGGGTGGATCGTCTGCTGCCTGTTTGTGAGGAAGGGAAGACACGGGACTAGATTGGGACCCTTTCCCAGGGCACACAGATGGCTGGGTTCAGGCCCCAACTGAAGCTATCGGAATGCCTACAGCTCCCTGGGCAGGGGCAAGGAGGGGGTGGACCACCACCACGCCACGCTGGTTTGAGCACTCAGGGCCTGGGCATTTCCTTAGGAGCCCCTCCTGCCGGTGCTTTTCTCTCTCCACTCCCCCCCCCACACACACACCCCTTCCGTGCTGCTCCCTCCACAGGGCTTCCCCACCTGTCACATCTGGCGCTGGACCAGACACACATCTCGGACCAGGGCCTGGCAGAGTTCCTGCTCTCAGCGCCTCCCACGCTCACGCATTTGAGCCTCAACCAGACAGGCATCACGGAAAGCACCCTTGGCCTCCTGCCCCAGTATGCCCGCAACCTCTGTGTGCTCAGCATCAAGCAGACGGCCGTAAGTGGAGTGGGAGAAGGCCAATCGGCTTGTGCCGGCCGGAGCAGGGGCTGGGTTCACTGGCCCCGTGTGTGTGTGTGTGTGTGTGTGTGTGTGTTTTTCAAGGGGCTGGGTTTCGGAGGCTGGTCCCCACAGCATGGGTCCTCTGCCTGCAGGTTACAGATGTGTCGGCGCTGAGGCAGCTCGAGGCTCTGCAGGCGCTCCACCTGGATGGCACCCGGGTGGCCGAGCCCGCTCTCCGGGCCTTGGCCTCGCACCCCACCCTCTCCCGCCTGACGCTTTCGGGAGCCCAGTCCCTTGACAGCGACCGGGCCCTGGAGATCATCTCAGGTAGAGCAGCTGGGAGGCGGGGCGGGGGCCTTCTGCGGTGCCCCTGCCCCTTTTAGAAACGGTCCTGAGTCCGCCTTCCCTGGGACCAGGTCGGAGAGGGCGCCCGGCAAACTCCTCTTGTGGCTTTTCCAGGCCTCCCGCTGGTGCAGTTCTCCCTGCCGAGGCGGCAGACGGTCACCGATGCGGGCTTGACGGCCTTGTGCCACCTGGGGGGCCTCCTAGAGCTGGACCTGTCAGACTGCAGCCGCGTCACCGACCTGGGGCTGCAGCATCTTGCTCATCTGCGCAGGTGAGGCGTGCGGGAGCTCACTCGCCCAGGCACACGTTTATACACCTGGCCTCGTGCGTTTGTGCATCCCAGGACACTGCGGCCCCCTCCCCGATGAGGGCAGATGTGCCAGCCGTTGTGATTTAAGGGGCAGCTGGATCGTGGCCCTGAGAGGAGGTACTGCCCCAGCGGCCTCGGCTGGTGTCCAGGATCGCTCAGCCCGGCCTCTGGCCCTGAAGCTCTCATGCTCTCCAGCTGCAAGCCTCCACATGCCTCCATGGGACCCAAGCCCCACTAAACCCCATTTGTTTTGCTTCTGAGTAGCCCCATAGAAAACTGTTGTGCCTAGAGCATTTTGCTGTGCCCCACCTTCACTGTGAAAGGCGCCCCGAGCCAACGCGGCCCTTAAGGGGGTATCCCCTGCAGCTCTTTGGGCTGGCTGAGCCCCCGACTCTTCTACGCCGGCCAGCCAGGCCTTCCCTCTGTCTGTGGGGCGGGCCCCGAGGAGGACCTTCTTTGGGGCAGCAGTCGCCAAGGGGGCAGGGCCTTTCCCTCCCTGGACCCACCCATTCTCATGGCCCTGCTGTCAGAGGCCCCCCTCCCCAGAATAAACCCACCCACCCCCCACCCTGTGGCTAGTGACTTCCTCCAGCACTGACATCCTCCGCCTTCCCTCCCACCGCAGGCTGCGCCGCCTCTCCCTCTGCAACACCCTGGCCACGGACAGCAGCCTGCAGCCCGTGGGGAGCCTGCAGCTTCTGGAGGAGCTGTGCTTGGACCGCCTCCGTGTCTCCAGCCTGGGGGTGGCGCGCTGCATCACCAGCCTCCCCCACCTGCAGGTACGCCCAGTCCCAGGTGGGCCCTGGGGAGCCGGGAGATCAGCCTCCGGCACAAAGCGAAGGCCTCTGCGGCTTTGGCCCCGACGGGAGAACCAACCGGGAGCTCCTGGGCCTTGTGGGTGCTCCGGCTTCCGTTTGCATAAGAACTCCTGCTTGCTCCCTGTTCCTTCTCTGCCTCCCTGGCACGGTCTGCCCTCTCTCTCTCTCTCTCTCTCACTCACTCACACACACACACACACACACACACACACCCCAGACTTGCCTGCACACTTGCTGGTTCCACTGCAGAGAACAGAACAACTAGTCTCTGTGGCAAGCCAGAGGCGCCCCCCCGCCCCCGGCCCCTTAAGTGGCCCTGCTGGTCCATTCGGCTGCTCTCATGTGGCCTCCCTTCCTTCTGGCGGCCCCTGCCGGGGTTTGCAGTGACCCAGACCACCCTGCCCTGCACGGAGGCCCTTGGAAGGAAGAGCTTGGGGCCCTCATCCACTGTGCCCGTGAGGACCAAGAGGGAAGGGGGCAGCCCCCCCCCGAAACTCTCAGGTCTCCTCAGCAGGCTTGTCTGAAAGGACGACCCCTTGGAAAGCCTAGTCAGAACCTGGGTCGGGCTCAGATTGGGCCTTGGATTGGGCCCGTGCACAGACACACACACACACCCTCCCCCAAGCCAAGCGGGCAGCCCTTGCAAGGGAGCCGACATCTCCTGGCACCGGCCCCCCTTGACAATCGGGCTGCACCCTCTGGGACCCTTCAAAGCTTCCAGTCACTCCAGTGGCCTGAAAGAATGGCGGGGGGGGGGTTAACTTGTGGGATGCCCTTGTGCCAGCTGCCTCCCTGGCTCCCCCAGGTCCTTCCCAGCATCCCGACTTGGACGGTGGGCAGAGGCAACATAGATGGGGGCCCGGGTGGAGACCACGGGCTCTGCTGTGCCACTTCCATTGCTGCTGCCCCCCCCCTCCCGGCTACTTGGGCATTTTAGGGTTGCTGTACCCAGGCTTCTGTCCTCCTGCAGCCCCCTTGTGCTGTGGCAGAGTGGCCGCTGGCTGGAAACGGGGAGCGTGGAATGCGTGGGGGGTGGCCAGAAAGTCCCAGGAGGCCTGAGATGGGACACCGTGCTCAGGGTGGGGCTGTTGGGCCATAGGGGAGGAGGGGGAGGGGCAGAGGCCATTTCTGTGGGGTGAAGCCATGGGCCCCCACCAGGGAAGGGCATCTCCTTCACCTGTAGGGATGGAGAGAAGGCTCTGCTGTGCAGAATGGGGGTGGGGTGGGGGCCAGGGGGCCCTGGAGTCTCCGGCCAGGTGAACTCGAAGGGGGGTGGTGGTGGTCATGGCTCCTCCTTGCAGGTGCTGAGTCTTGCCAGCACACCCGTTGGGGACACAGTCGCCAGGCTGGGCATCGCTCGCTGCCCGCAGCTGCTCAAGGTGAACCTGAGCCGCACCCGCCTCACGGACCGAGGTAAGAGGAGGGCGGGAGCAGGGCACCTCCATGACACCTGGGCTGGCACACAGAGTGCGTGGCAGGACATGGGACCCCCCGGGAGGTGGGATGAAGGGGGGCAGGCTGAAGGAGGTGAGGACATACATGAGGTGTGGGGCAGGGGCCCCTGGCACAAGAGGCAAGATTCCCCTACAGCCACCATGATGGGTTCTCTGCTCAGACCAGAGGCTTTGTGAGGTCCCATCCTGCACTGATCCATCTCGGCAGGAGGGGTGTGTGTGTGTGTGTGTGTGTGTGTGTGAGAGAGAGAGAGAGAGAGAGAGAGAGAGAGAGACTGCCCAAAGTCGTGTGTTTGTGGGTCTGGGAGAGGCGCGCCAGGGGCAGATCCTGCAGTTTGGGATCGACCACCCCCTGCCCTAGCGCAGCCCCCCAGCTTCTCTCTGTGGCCTCACCCCATGCCCTCCCCCTCTTTCTCTCCAGGGCTTCGCTTCCTCCACCAGGCGCCCCTTGTCCAGCTCAACCTGGACGGCTCAGGAGTGACGGCTCCGGGTGTCGCCGCCCTGCAGGCCGCCTGCCCTGCCCTTGGCAGCATCCGGGCCTCCCACTTGCGCACCCTGGCCCGGGAGGAGGTCTCTGATGAAGAAGGATCCAGCTAGGCCAGGGCGGTGAGCCCCTGCCCCCGCCCCCACCCCTGGGCCCGGTGGGTACCCAGTGTCCCCCCCCCTGCTTGGGGGGGGGAGGGCTTTCCCAGCTTCCCTCTGCTTTGGTTGCCCTCGAGGGCCAGACAAAGTCCAGGCTGGTTCCCTGCAGAGCTGGCTCGCCAGAGAGGCAGGCGGCCATCAGCGAGCGCCTGGGCATCCCCTGTGAGGGATCTCGGGCACCGGCAGGAACGGGGCATGTTCTGTGGTCAAGAAATCCAGGCTTTTTGTTGCGTGACGTGCTCATTCCCACCTCGACACCGTCCCAACGTTGGCGAAAACGCTCCCTGGGGGCTGACTGAAGCTGGACACGGTGCTTGCGGCAAGACTGATCAGAGCCTGGAAGAGAGTTTGAGGAAGAACCAACTGGTTGCAGGAGATGCGGCAGAAGGAAAGACCCTGGGAGGCCATCCCTGGGGCAGCCGGGCGGGTGAGGGCAACCGAGCGGAGCGCATCCAGGCCCTGGCCTCTGCCTGCCATTTGTGCCTTAAGACTTGCAATAAAAAGAACAAAGAGTCTTTTTCACGAGGCGGTCTGTTCAGAGGAGGCGGGGGGGGGCTGGGGGGAGAGAGGAGGAGGCTGCTTGCTGCCAGAGTCCCACTTGAGAATCGGGCAGGGTCTCTGGGGACTGTCATGCCCTCCTTCCCTTCCCCTCTTCCTCCTCCTCTTCCTCTCCTTCCTCCTCCCTGCCCCTCTGGCTGCTTCCTCACTACCCCTGCAGGGAGTGCCCGTTTCCCTCTTCCCTCTAGGCAAGGGTCAGGTGGAGGGGAAGGGGCCTGGAATCCCCCTGTGCCCACGGAGGAGGACTCGCTGGCCCTGGGCTTGAGTGAGGGTGGGGGTGCCCTGGCAGAGGGGGCAGCCGGCAGACTCCTTCAGAGCTGTCGCCGTAAAGGGTGAGGCGTCCTTCCCTGGCTGGCCTCTCGGAGGTTCTTGGGCAAGGGGCATGAGGGGCACCTCCCCTGTCAGGCCTGCGGGAAGGGCCATGCTCCCCAGTGGAGAAGGTAGAGCCGGCCCAGCTGCACATGTATCCCCAGCATCCGGCTTTGGGGAGAGCCTTAGAAGTGGTGTCCCCTTCGCTCGTGCAGAAGATCCTGGGCCAGTTCTTGGCGATGGCTGGGGTGCTCATGGAGGACAGGGGGGTGCTGGCTGCCAGCTGGTCAGGCGGGGCATGGGCTTGCTCCTACCTGGGCAGAGCTGGGTTGCGACACCCTGGTCATCTGCCCAACGCTTGCCCGTTTAGGTAGCTCGGGTTCCTGACCATCACGGTCCTGACCTGGAGGACAGGCAGTGACCACCAGCAGGATATTGTCCAGCAATGCCAGTGTCTCCTGGCTCCTCCCGACCCGCTCGCCGGCTCCTTCCCAGGGCTGGGCCGCTGGCGTGAGGGCCTGTCCCTGAGCTGAACCTGTATTTCTCCTTGCACCTGAGGCCTCCTCACCTTCCAAGAGTTACAGGAGAAGACAAGATCCCCTTCCGGCAAAGGTATAGAACAGGAATCGGTGTCAGAGGCCAGGGGGTGGGTGTCCAGTTGGAGGGAAGCATTCCTTGTTCAGCAGCATTCCAGAACTGGAGCCAGCTCCCCTTTTAGAGAAGTGTTGGGAGTGGATGGAGGGGAGAAGCCAGAGTCGCAAGAGGTCACCCCAGAGGCCTCCTGTGGAAGAAGCCTGCGCGGCGTTGTGGGATTGAGACCCTTCAGCCTTTGAAAACACGTCCCTGCCAAGCCACCAAAGGTCTTCAGAACCGCTTCAAGGTGTCCTGGGAGCAGGAGCTTTTCTGGCTAGAAGATCTTCAAAGACGCTGACAGTGTGGCTGAGAAAAGCCTCAGCAAAGGCTTGGCTTCTTACCGGGAGGGAGGGAGGGAGGGAGAAGGTCCAGGGAGAATTCCTGTCTTCCACACGGCATCAGGGTGGGAAGTGCCGCCACAGCTCAACAGAGAGGCAGGTGGCCAGGAGGAGAAAATCCTTTGGGAGCTTTCAGGAGTCTTTATTCATGAGCAAGCTTTCACCCACCACACCCAGAAAGGGACCGTGACAAGTCAATCTGAATTCAAGGGGTTTTAAGAGAAACGGCACCCCTTTTTGTGCCTGGTCTCCTGATCATCCTACCTTCCAAACCCCAGCCCTTCCAAGACCCCCTTCTTGTGGATGGAGTAAGAGTGCGGGCCCTGAAGGGAGCCCAGAAGGCTCCTCAAAGCAAAAAGCAAAGCGGGCTGCTTATATACTGCTCCCCATAGTGCTTCAAGCACTCTCTGGACGGTTTTCAAGTTAATTATGCCCCTCCCCCGCAAACTGGGTACTCATTTTACCAACCTCGGAAAGATAGAAGGCTGAAGGCTGAGTCAACCTTGAGCCGGCTGTCTGGGATGGAACCCTAGGTCGTGAGCACAGTTTGGGCTGCAGGACAGCGGTTTAACCACTGCTGGCCTCCTAAGTCTGTTGTGCTTTTGTTGATCTCTTCAGGTGTATTTAGTGTGAATTTAAAGTAAGTAAAAGCCTTTTCAAGGGAAAAAAAATAGTTCAGTGAATTAGGTCTCTGGCTGCAGAGCCAGAGGCTGGGCGTTCGATTCCCCGCTTGTGGTCTTGCTGCACAGTCCCGCAGCGCCCCTAGAGGAAGGGAAGGGTAAAGCACGTCTGCCGGAAAAGGGTCTCCAGAAGTCAGATTTGCCTTAAGGCCATGGTTATTAGGAACACAGCAGCTGTTGGGGGCTCCAGAGGCAAACCCACTCGGGGGGGGGGAGGCTGTGCAGCCTGCTCCTTGCCCTGCCCCCAGCAACCCTGCTGCCCCCCGCGGAAAGGGGGGTGGCTGGCCCCCTGGAAGCAAGACTCCGCCTTCCAGTCGCCGTCGAAGTCCTTGCCTCCTTGGCCGCGAGGGGGCTTTTGCTGGTCTCGTGTGGGCTTCCACCTGCAGGGGTCGGGGGGGGGGCACCTGACTGGATGCCGACCTCCGGGCTGGCGTCCCTCCCTCCCGCGGAGCTGCTTCGGCTCGGGCCTCCTAGGCGGAGAGCCCGGCTCAGGGGCCGAGGAACTTGGCTTAGGCAAGGATCTGGGAAGGGGGCGATCCACCCATCGCGCGCCCCCCCCCCCCGCCCGGGCTCCGCCACATCCA